CGGCCTTGCAGGGCCTGCAGACGCTTTCAGAGGCCTTCAGAGACCTCTGTAGACCTTCAGAGGCGGCCGTCGTCGTCGCCGTCGCCGTCGGCGTCATCGTTGTCGTCGTCGTCGTCGTTCTCGTCGTGGTCCTCCCCCTCGTCCTCGAGCCTGTCGTCGTCGTCGTCGGCGTCGTCGTCGTCGTTCTCGTCGTGGTCCTCCCCCTCGTCCTCGAGCCTGTCGCCGTCGTCGTCGTCGTCGGCGTCGTCGTCGTCGTTCTCGTCGTGGCCCTCCCCCTCGTCCTCGAGCCTGTCGTCGTCGTCGTCGTCGTCGTTTCCGAGGGCCTCGAAGGGCCTCCAGACGCCTCCAGAGGCCTCTGGAAACCATCGGGGGCCTCTGGACACCCGGAGATTTTCAGAGGCGGCCGTCGTCGTCGTCGTCGTCGGCGGCGGCGGCGGCATCGTCGTCGTCGTCGTCGCCGTTGTCGTCTTTGTCGTCGTCGTTTGTCGTCCTCGTCGTCGTCGTCGCCGTCCTTGCTCCCGTCTTCCTCGACGTCGTCGTCGTCATCGTTGTCCCCGTCCTCGTCCTCGTCCTTGTCGTCGTCGTCGTCCTTGCTCACGTCCTCGTCGTCGTCGTTCTTGTCGTTGTCGTCGTCGTCCCCGTCCTCGTCCTCGTCCTCGTCCTTGTCGTCGCCGTCGTCGTCGTCGTCGTCGTCGTTGCCGTCGTCGTCGTCGTCGTGGTCGTCGTTGTATTCGTCGTCGTCATCGTCGTCCTCGTCCTCGTCCTCGTTCCCGTCGTCGTCCTCGTCGTCGTCGTCGTCCTCGTCCGTCGTCTTCGTCGCCGAGGTCCTCGAAGGGCCTCCAGACGCCTTTAGTAGTTTCCAGAGACCTAATTGGCCTTGGGAGACCTCCAGAGACCTTCAGAGGCGGCCTCCGTCGTCGTCGTCGTCGTCGTCCTCGTCGTCGACGTCCTCGTCGTCGTGGTCGTCGTCGTCGTCGTCGTCATCATCGTCGTCGTCCGGGTCCTCGTCCTCGTCCTCGTCGTCGTTATCGTCTTCGTCGTCTACGTCCTCGTCCTATTCCTCGTCGTCATCATCGTCCTCGTCCTCGTCCCCGTCCCCGTCTTACCTCTGTCCTCGTCCTCGTCCCCCTCGTCGTCGTCGTCCTCGTCGTCGTCGTCGTGTCGTCGTCGTCGTGGCCGAGGGCCTCGACGGGCCTCCAGACGCCTCCAGAACTTCTTAGGCTTCAGAGACCTCTGGAGATCTTCAGAGGCGGTCGTCGTCGCCAACCTCGCCGTCGTCGTCCTTGTCATCCTCGTCGTCGTCGTTGTCCTCGTCGTCGTCCTGGTCCTCGTTGTCGGCGTCGTCGTCCTCGTCGTCGTCCTCGTCGTCCTCGTCGTCGTCATCATCGTCCTCGTCCTTGTCCTCGTCGTCGTCATTGTTGTCGTCGTCAACCTCGTCGTCGTCGTCGTCCTTGTCCTCTTCCTCGTCGTCGTCGTCGTCGTCGTTGTCGTCGTCGTCGTCCCCCTCGTCCAAGTCGTTGTCGTTGTCGTCGTCGTCCTTGTCCTGGTCGTCGTCGTCGTCGTCGTCGTCGTTTTCGTCGTCGTCCCCGTCCTCGTCCCAGTTGTCGTCGTCGTCGTCCTTGTCCTCGTCGTCGTCGTCGCCGTTGTTGTCGTCCGGCGCCCGGGCGCTGGTGCCGGAACCGCAAAAGGCAGGGAGGGTCGTTACGTTATGCCCCCCCCGCCTCCCCCCCAAAACGCCTGTTATGGCCGCGAATGAATATATCCGCTTATTCTCGCCCTTCGTCCATCCCCATCATTTCCCCCCCTTCGCTCCTTACTCTCCCTCCCTCGCTCCTTTCCTCCTCCAGCGTCGTCCAAAAGACCCCACGACCTCCGAAGACCGCCGATGACCTCCGAAGGCCGAAGGCCTTCTCAAGATCTACAGAGACCTCCGAACATCTCGAGACCTTTGAAAGCCTCACGGCGCCGTGAGCGCGTCGGAAGACGTCCGATCGCTTCTTCAAGACATCCAGAGACCTTGGCAAGACTCTGAAGACGTCCGAGGCGAGGCGTCCAGCGGCGGTGGGGTTCCGCCCGTCTGAGCCACCACGAGCGCCCTCGGGAGCCTGGGGTCCTCGCTGTCCGAGGCGGCGGCCACGTCGGCGAATGAGCGCAGCACCGCGTCGCCTGGGGTGGTGCCCCGAAGCCTCCGCCTGCGGTGCGGAACGCCGCCAGGCGAGGCGCCCCAGAGCGCCGCAGTCAGCAGGGCTGGCTGCCGGCCCGCACAGCGGAGGGCCCCGGGCGTCTCGGCGGGCGACTGGCATCGTGGAGTTGCGGGTGCGGGACTAGCGCGTGCGGGCGGCGGCGCTGGCCTTCGCTCCACAGCCGCCTGCGGTCGCCGCGCCCCGCGGCCCCCGCCCCGCGCGTAGTCCAGCGAGGGGTCGCGCGCCGCCGCCTCCCGGCAGAGCCGCTGCGCGTGCGAGCGGCGGATCTGCCCCCTCAGGGCGTGCCCGGCGATCTCCCCGACTCGCACCTCCGCGCCCTCGTCAGTCCTCCAGCGCTTCAGGGCCGCAGCAGTCCAGCCGAGCCGCTCCGGGGCCAGCAACGTCGCGGCGGCGGGGCCGCTGCCCGCCAGCGCACTCGGGCCGCGGGCGGCCCGCAGCTGGAGACTGCGTGGCGCCAGGCCCAGATCGTGCCGCAGGTGACCTGGCCGACTGGCTTGGCGTGCAGGCTCCCAGACGCTTCTCCTGGAGCATCGCTCATGCTCCTCGCGCGGCCGCGGCTCCAGGCCATCAGGGCCTGCTCGGCCGCGTGAGCACCAGGCGTCCCGGCGCGGCGCGGCCCACAGCGCGAGGCCGCCCTGCAGCGACCTCCCGCGCGCGCTGCCGAAGGCTATGGCTGCCGACTGTGGAGCGCCATCGCTCCAGCTCGGCCGTCGATTAAGCCCGAGTGCAGCAGCCGTAGGCGGTGGTCGGCACGAGCCCCGCCCACGAGCAGCCTCTGCGAGGCCGTGACGGAAGTCGCGGGCCTTGGAGTGCCGCTGGCGTGCGACCCCGCGGGGGGCGCCACTGTCCCGCACGAAGTCCACGCCCAGGACCTCGGACCTAGGCTCTTCATGACCCTTGAGGCGCGCGTTCCAGGGGTGCCCGGATCTTCCCGAACGGCCCCCCGGGATCCGAGTCATGACCCACAAGCCACCACTCGGGGCGGACGGGGGGTGGGTCTCCGCTACAGTGGAAGCCCATGCCAAGAAACACCTTGCTCGCCTCCAGGGTGCTCTCGGTTTCTTGGGTTTCGATGGTTTTGCGGTGGAAAAAAATCTTCACGCTTCGCGTATCCCCACCAGCCCATCTCAAAACAGCAAGTCTTACGAAGCATGCCGACAGCCGTGTTTTTTCAGGCGTGTTTCCGCCTGCCCCCGCATATCTCCCCTGTTCCTCCTTCCTCCTGCCTCCTTGTACATCCTCCTTGTGGTGGGAGCGGGAGAAGGACGAGGCGGAGGAGGAGGGAGAGAAAGCGGTGGGAGGCAAGAGGGATTTAGCGGAGACGACGACCACAGCGATGATCCTAACAACGACGACGCACCCGACGACGACGACGATATCGACCGCGACGACGACGACGATCCCTCCCTCTGCCATCTCTCGCTGTCGTCCGCCATGGCGGGCGTGGGGTCTCTCCTCCCTCTGGCGGGCCTCGTCAGCGCACGCGCGCCGCATGATGGAGCGCCTTCGTCGCCTCGGCGGTGCCGCGACGGGGGTCGGCCCCCCTCTCAGTTTTTCGTTATCCCTAGATTGTGCATGGACTTGGGGGTTCCTAGTTCTTCCTTACGGTAATTGGCTCGTTGGGTGTGTTGGGTTTTCGGCTGGTGCCCGGTTGATGGGCGCTTTGTGGGCGCCCCGCGTTGGGTGGGTGGGCTGACTGCGGGGAGGGGAGGGCGGTTAGCTATGTTTTATGGAGTGTTAAGTTTTCTGCTCACATCAAAGCCCCACCGCCTTGGTGTTTGCAATAGGTCCCAGTGGCGCCCGAGGTTCGTACCACGCTGCTGTCGTGCTTGCTGAACAGCAACGCGCGCATCGAGAAGGAGACGCTGCCCACTGGGGGCATCAAGTGGAACCCGGTGGGCAACTCTTCCGAGGCGTGCCGACGGAGGGAGGGAGGGAGCGAGGGAGGGAGCGAGGGAGGGAGCGAGGGAGGGAGCGAGGGAGGGAGGAAGGGAGGGAGGAAGGGAGGAGGAGGAGGAGGAGGGCCAGTGCATACCCAAGACGCATCAACGATGTTGCAATACACCCTCTCTCCAAGTTGCCAAGTTGCCTCTTCATATGTCCCTACAGTGATTTCTTTTCACTGCGGGAAGTGCCCCGTTGGAGGACAATCGTCTGGACAACCTTAGCCGTGCAGAACCACTGTCACTGCTGCGTCTTGACGGTCCTGAAGCGTGCCAGAACACCACTCATTGGATTTCAACATCACGAAACAACGTGGCTGTTGCGCCCTGGCAGTCCTAAGTCCTGGCAAAATCCATTCCTGGGGCGTCAACCAGAGAGATCCTGGAAACTGCTCCAGCATTCTAAGACGAATATGCGCGGCGCTGAGACGAGAAACACATCTTGAAAATGAACCGCCCTCCAGCCGTGAAGCTCTTGCAAACTTGTAAGCCGTGCGTGGGCGGCGCTAAGACGAGAGCCACATTTGTGAAAACGACCTGCCCTCCACCCGTGAAACTCTCGCAAACTTTGGAGACGAATGTGCGCGGTGCGAAGGCGAGAGCACTATGTTGAAAACCACTTGCCCTCCATCCGTGAGACTTTTTGCACACTGTAAAAACGAATGTGCGCATCGCTAAGGCGAGAGCCACATTGTGAAAACGGCCTGCCCTCCATCCGTGACATTGCTGCACATGTTAAAGTTCAGGGTCATAAATGGTGAGGAAGCCTCAGGTGGTGAAACGCCCAGCCCACCCTACCAACACGTCTCGGGGTGCGGCAGGGAGGAGGTATTGACAAGGACAAGTGATGGGGGAGCAGGAGGAGAAGGAGTAGGGGGCTGCCTCCCTGTCTGATGCCCCTCTCCTTGGAACAGGCTGCTAGAAACATCTGCGTTTGGCTGCGAACGAGAGAGGAGTTGAGTGCTTCCAACCCTCTTACGCCAGGTTTTCGCTGAACAGAGCACTGATGCCGCCTTCTCCTTGCCGACTCCCCCCTCCCCGACTCCTGCCTCGTACCTCCTGTTGCCCACTGCCTCGCTCACCTGGGTGCTGCCAACTGCGCAACCGTCGCCGCTTTCGTGACCCCCGGGGAGGCCCGGCGGAGGGGAATCCTGCGCGGATCCAGGCGGGACCTCGCCCTCCCCGGTTGAGCTGTCACCTGCGCAGTGGCCGCCACTTCTGTGAGAGCTGCGGCGGCCCAGCTTCGGATATTGGAACCTATACATTACCAGTGGCGGGCTGTTTTTCAATCCCAGGATTTTTTCAGGGTCGAGGACGACGTCGGGGTGGTGTGGTGTATACTTGTTTCCCCGTTTTCTTTGGGAAACAAGAAACATGTATACACCAAGATCCCGTATATACCAGGATCCGCTTTATTCATTGCAAGTTTCAGAGCAGGCCCGGAACATGCGTCGGTGTGTAGAGTTCGGTTCCCTACAGCGGAGTGGTGCCCTGCGCGGGTCCAAGTGAGACCTCGCCCTCCCTGGGGCTGCCCCCTTTTCTGTGCAAGCGTTTCAGTTTCAGGTGCGCTCTTGGGAGGTTTTGCGGAGAGGTGTCCCATGCTGATCCAAGGGGGACCTCGCCCTTCCGCGGGGCTGCCAACTGCGCAACTGTTGCAACGTTCGTGGGCTGCACCATTTGCTCTCCGTCTGCCGACCGTTCGTGTGTCTACCTATTTCCACCCCCACTCCTTCCCATCTCTCTTCCTTCCTTACCTCGTGTCATCCCCCTATCTTCTCCCACGTCCTCGCCCCTCCTCATCACATCCCCATACGTTCCTACATCCGTCCGCCTCACATTCCTTTTCTCGGTCATCGTTGGTTTCATGTCCTCTCCACTGCATGCCATATCCGAATGTAATGTCTCACTAAACTCTACCCCCTGATTCGTGCAACGCGTCAGTCCCCATGCAGCTGCCACAGCAAGACGCGCTCCTTAATCATGCCATCATATGTAGAATATGGAACCATGGATATGGTCGGCTGTTGCAGATGGATCGTGCATGCACCAGGGTAACGTGTTGCTGCTTTCAACGTGCTGGACTTTCAACTCGGCCCGAGCAAGGCTTGATTTTTCGGGGGCGGGGTGTGTCGGGTCGGACGAAAGGGGGCATAGAGAAACGCAGGGTGGTATTCAATCTCCGGCGCAATCAACTATTTATATATTCTTTGCATGTGCCCGCACGCCGTCATTTGCCACACTTTTCCTTTCCAATGTGCCGTGCCGTCTGTCTGGGCGCGGCTTCTGTCTGTCTGTCTGGCTAGCTGGCTGGCTGGCTGGCTGTCTGTCTCTGTCTGTCTGTCTCTGTCTGTCTGTCTGTCCGTCCGTCTGTCTGTCTGTCTGTCTGTCTGTCTGTCTGTCTAGCTGGTTTCGGCCCCGCCGCCGGGCGATTCGGCAGACGCCCGGGGCTCCCCCGGGGGCGCGAGGGCGGCCGCGCACCTCGCGCGCCACGCCGCCGCGGCGGCGGCGACGCCCGCGACCACTACCACGACGACCATGACGACCACGACGACCACGACGACCACGACGACCACGACCAAGACCACGACCACCAATTACCGCGACGACTACGACGACGACGACGACGACTACGACGACATCGGCGGCGGCGGCGGCGGCCGCGGCCGCGGTCGCGACGACGACGGCGGCGAGGCGCCGCTCGTGGTGGCCGCGCAGAAGATCGATCTCACGCCCGAGAAGGGGCAGAAGATGTTCCCTCGCCTGTTCGAGGCCGGGGGCCTGGCAGGGCGAGGAGGGGCAGGGGGAGGAGGAGGAGGAGGATGGGGCGCGGAGGATGGCGAGGAGGAGGAGGAGGCGGAGGAGGTCGAGGCGGGGACCAGCCAGGGCGAGGAGGGGATGATGAGGAGGGGGCGAGGTGAAGGAGGAGGAATAAAAGTAGGAGGGAAGGGGGAAGCCAGGAAGCATGGGAAGGAGGAGAAGCAGGAGGAGGAGGAGGAGGAGGAGGAGGAGGAGGAGGAAGAGGAGGAGGAGGAGGAGGAGGACAGCCTTCTTGCTCCTCTCCCTCTCCCGGCCAGAGGGGGGGGACCAGGGGACAGCCAGGCAGGTAGAACATTTGAAGAAGCTTTGACCCTCTCCCTGCTCCTCGGGATGGCACGCCCTCCTTCCCTCCCTCCTCCCTCCTTCCCTCCCCTTGTTCCTCCCTCCCTCCTCCCTCCTTCCTCCTCCCTCCCTCCCTTCTCCCTCCCTCGCTCCCTCAGGTACCCTTCTCCTCGTCGCGGAAGATGATGCTCACCGCGCACGACTGCTCCTCGCAGACCGCGCTCGCGGGCCTGAAGCTCACCAGCGGCTCGAAGGCCTCCCCTCGAGGGCGTGTCGCCACCGTCAGACGTCTTCGTCTTCGTCGTACAGTTGGCACGAGGGTGGATCATGGGCTAGCGTTAGGGGGGGACAGGCTCAGGGGGGGAAGCATTGACCCTCAATCGTCCACGCATCGCCGATAAGACGGGCCTGATCGCCCATCCCGCCAGGAACGTCCCGAACTTGCCATCGGGGGCCCATCGCCGGTCTATCGACGATGTATCGCCGATTCCAGGCCGATGTTCTCCCCCTGAGCCGCCCCTCCCCCCCCCTCCCCCAAACGTTCCCCCTTAGTTGGGGACAACCTTTGCTCTGGAGGTGTGCCCTGGCGTTCTTCGCGTCTGGGCTCCTCCGCCCTGGAACACTCTTCGGCTAGGGTACATATCTCCTCTGCGTGCTGCTGCTGCCGCCCATCCGTCCCGCTGTCTTTGTGTCAGCTTTTCGAGGTTACAGCTCTGTGGAGGGGAGGTGCGGCCCTCGCCGGTCGGGCCCTCCAGCGTTCGGTTTCCCGGGGCGTGAGGCTCGCTGCGCCAGAGCCAAAAAAGGATCACTCTTCGTTCGGGTACCTCCACGGGGCCTCGAGCCTGAGGCGAAGGGGCTCGCGCGCTTGACCCACGTTCCCGCGGCCGCGTTGTGGCTCTACGTCGTCGTCGGACGTCCTGCGTCGCCGTCGTCGTGCGTCGTTGCACGCCGTCGTCGGTGGCTTCGGTCCTCGCTGTCGGGCGGGGTCCGAGGATCGACGATCGAGATTCTTGGGCGCTCTTGGGCGAGGATTCTGAGGGGAAGGAGGAGGAGGAGGAGGAGGAGGAGGAGGAGGAGGAGGATGGATGACTATTGTAGACTCAAGACTCATAAACGATGTTGCAATAACCCCTCCCTCCAAGCTCCCTCTTTATTGGCGCCTGCAAGAGTTAATTTCCACAGAGGGAAGAGCCCCGTTAGAAGACAGCAGTTTGAACATCCGGAACCGTTCCAGAGCACCACTCCTGGGACGTCAACGCCACGAATCAACCTTACAGTTGCGTCTTGACGATCCTGAATCTTGCCAGAACGCGATTCGTGGGACTTCAGCACCGAGAATCATCGTAACTGTTGCGCTCTGGCAGTCGTACATCATTCCAGCACACCGTCTCTGGGACGTCAACCATGAGAAACCGTGAATATGCTGCAAACTTTCTAGACGAATGTGCACGGCGGTAAGGCGCGCGACACATTTTGAAAAGGTCCCGCCCTCCATCCGTGAAGCTCTTGCAAAGTTTGAAGACGGATGTGCGCGGCTCTAAGGCGAGAGCCTCATTTTGAAAACGGGTCGCCCTCCATCCGTGAAAATTTGGTTCATGTTTAAGACGAGTGCGCGTGGCACAAAGGCCAGAACTACAGTTTGAAACCGACCTGCCCTGAAACTCTTGCAAACTATTAAGACGAGTGTGCGCGGCGCTATGGCGAGATCGTCATTTTGAAAGTGACCCGCACTCCATCCGTGAAGCTGTTGCACATGTAAAGCGTAAGGATTAAATTTTGTGAGGGGGTTTCAGGCGAAACGCCCGACCCGCCCTACCGACGCGTCTCGGGGTGCGACAGGGAGGAGTTAGGTATAAAGGGAAACAGGAATAGAGGAGTATGAGGAGGAGGACGAAAAAGAGGAGGAGGAGCAGGAGCAGGAGCAGGAGGAGGAGGAGGAGGAGGAGGAGGAAGGGGCAGAGGCGGAGGCGGAGGAGGAGGGAGGCGGACAAGGAGGAAGAGAGGATGCGGAGGAGAAAGGAGGATGAGCTGGAGGAAGAAAGGCAAGAGAAAGAAGGAGGAGGGAGGAGGACGAGGGAGGATGAAGAGGGGAGGACGGAGAATGGAGGAGGAGGAGCAGGAGGAGGAGGAGGAGGAGGAGGAGGAGGAGGAGGAGGGATGGAGAGGAGGGAATTTAGTAGATTGGAGCATACAAAGGGGGGACACAATTGGAGGAGAGATGAGGGATGAGAAGGAAGGTTGGAGGATGGAACATCGGGAAGAGGAATGAGGGGGGGAGGAGGAGGCGGAGGAGGAGGAGGCGGAGGAGGAGGAGGCGGAGGAGGAGGAGAAGGAGGGTAGGAGGAGGAGGAGGAGGAGGAGTAGGAGGAGGAGGAGGAGTTTTTTTATTCGACGAAGGGGTCATCGTAGCCATTTTGGCTCAAGTCCGTAGCGTGGCTCGATGGTCAGCAGCGGACGCGAGTTTTCTGGCAAGGGGAGACGCGGCCCCATCGGCTTCCACACACCAGTTTGTGTAACGTACCCACCTCTCTCGTTCCATCCCCACATTTCGTTTGCTAGCCTGTATGACAGGCAAGGCTGATGTTTGGCCTCGTGGGAACACGATTTGCTCGGGCTGTGGCTGTCGCCGCAACCCTGGTCATTACCCTTGGTGCTATGTTTGCTGGACTGTGCTCACACATGTGGATGGTGGGTATCAGACACGAGGGAAAGGAGTTTGGAGTGATGACGACAGTTGGTGGAATGGATCTGGAAAGAAAGACAGAGGCCCCAAAGGTTGACCCAAGCCAGAACTGGGTGTCGCTGGCGGTCTCAACCAACTAATTCTTGGCGCCACCACGAAGTATCCTGATCAGCCCGACGGCGGACAGGTGGCACAGTTGCGAACAGTTCTCAATGGTGCCAAAACTAAGTGCGACCAGCCCGTATCTGGGAGCACAGTTGCCTGACGAGCTGAGCAGATGGCAACTGAGAAGGCAAAGCAGCTCTATAATGCCAAAGCTCGGGCAAAAGAGATTGAAGACGCAACCGCTGAGCTACTAGCGGGGTTGGCAGAGGAGAAGCAGCTGGTTGTCCGCCTGGAGAGAGAGCACGCCGAGGCAATTGCAGCATCCAGTGCCAAGCCAGCAGCGACCCTCCCACGATTGAGGGGTTCAAGTAGTCTCTCTCGGCATGGGGCGGCCAGCTCACCGCTCTGGCTCAAGGCGGCAATATGGATCATGAATGCAGCGCCCTGTGGGGGCAGCTCCGAGCTAAGCTGGAGCAAGCGGAGCCTAACGGCCCCGCGGGTGCTCCTGCAGGGCAAGACGCCGCGGCAGACTTGCCAGGAGAGCCAGGCAGGACAGCCGCGCCCCCCGCCAACACGGATACGGGTGCAGCAGCGCCAGGTTCAACCAGCAGACGCTGAGATGGACGACGACGACGATTTTGAGCACATCCTGGAGGAGGACGAGACCAAAGAGTTGGAGCAGGGTGTCAAACGCGACCTTGCTCGCAGGATCATCCAGAAACTCAGGCGCCGCCGCGTGGAGAAACGACGGCAGCAACCAGGCAGCGGAGATTCTCCCGCAGCGGAGATGGCCAGGCAGCTGCGGAGGCCAATGGTGGGTAGCTCCAGCCGCCGCCACGCCGCGGCCGCGTCCAACGCTCGGATGATTCGATCTCCGAGCCCACGGGGAGTGATGACTCGCTCTCCCCCTTGGGCGCCGCCAGCCGCGAGGAAGACGGCCCGGGCTCCGCCGAGTGCCAGCGAGAGAACGGAAGCCCACATTATTACGCACAGCCCTTCGTCCTGGGGTTCATGGTTAGATGTCCTGCCCATTTCGACGGCAGATCTCATTCTGGCTCAGGAGACCAATCTCAGAGGTGACAGACTGAAAAGTGCCGACGAGTCCATCCAAGCCAAAGGATGGACACCATATTCAACGCCAGCTCTGGAAGGAGAAGGTGGAGGGCCATCTTGTGGCGTCAGTATTTCGGTACGGGGGCATCTCCCGTCATGGAGTGGCAGCCGCTGTGAACTGGTCAAAGGACACATCACTCGGACTTATGTTGTTTAAATTAGAGAGGTGGGTACAATAGATATCATCAATCTATCTCTACAATGGAAGGGCTTACGCCGCGTACTATTTCTATTTGGGCCGCTTTGGGCCGAGACTGGACTTCGCGTGGATGTCTGGCGACATGCGGGGGTGACTTCAACTACGAGCCGCAAATATTGTTCGATTCAGTTCCCTGGGGAGAGCTGGAGGCCACGGTGAAGAGCACGAATGCGCGCGCGTACAGCAGTGGTGGGGTCACTTCTAACAGTGAGTATTTTGTTTTCAGCACGATGCTGGATGCGATTATTCCCGACTTCAGTGCTGGTCATCATCTCCCTCGTGGAGTTCACTCACCCGTGGCCATGAGGGCGCGTCTCAGCACGAGGGACACAATGGTGAACGTTTGGGATGAGTAAGGCCATGATGGGCCCACCCGTGGCGCCCCCCAGCTACGACGCTCAAATTGATGCGATGGAATCGTTGCTGAAATAACGCGGGGGCGCACAAGCATAACACCTTCAATTGCGAGGGCCTGACAGGCAGCGGGCCTTGCAGATCACGAGCGAGAGCTACGCCCAGTTCTGCGCCGAGGCTCGGGCGGAGCTGAAGCAGGTGACGGGCGAGCCAGGGGCTGGACTTTCAGGCGGCACAGCCAGACGTTGGAAGCTCAATCCCCTGCGAGAAGCGTTGATGACCAAGCGCCACCACTGCGAACAACCACGCCGATGTTTGAGTTGGGTGGCGCACAGACTGGCAGAACTCCAGGCTATCTTCAAGGGCGAAAATAGGTTCGACAGCGACTGCGTGAACAGGCTCGTGGACCAGCTGTGCATGCCCCCTCTGAGAGACGGCCCGCTCCGTCTCTTCTGGCAGGGGGGGGGGCCCCTTTTGGCGCCCACTTCAGTGCCAGTTTGCCTGCCGGGCCATGTCCAACAGACAGCTTGGACTTGAAAGCCGAACGCCGCTTTTGGAGCTTGTGCAGTTTATGAGAGACCAGGTTCACCTCTCACCTAGAGCTGCAGCGGCTCGGAGGTGGAGTGGGCGATGCGCCAAGGCCTGACTCGGAAGGTGGTGCGAAATCAGCGCGCTGTTATTTGAAGGGCCAACCCAAGCTTCGAGCCTAGGCCCCAGGGGGCCCCTCTCTGGCCTCCTCCATCCTCACCTCTTTCTCGGTTGAGGCCCGTCTTGAGGCCCGGGAGAATATTTGGAGAGTT